GGAGCGGCGAATGGAACAGATCAGTGAGACGAGAGATAGCAAGGCCGGATTCCGAGCGACCGTTATGAAGGGATCGACTGTCAATGGCTGGCAATCGGACAGGATACTTTGAGAGCTGGTAAAGACGAAGTTCCTGTCGCGAGTTTTTCCGGACCGTCGGGCCCTTTGGCGCTTATGTCATCACCAACCCGGGTTTCCCTGGGCGCGGGACAGACACGGGGAAGTTCAAGGGAACGCGAACGAACCCTCCCCGTACTTTATTTACTTCGTCCCCAATTCTAAAAGACCAGCCAGTTCGTGGTCTGGAGGGTTTCACCTTCCGTTATCCCCCCTCCTCCCCATCATGTCCTCGGCTATGCAACAGCGCAAGGCCGAGATCCTTGCCAAGAGAGCCAAACTCGCCGAACTGAAGCGGCAGAGAGAGCTGCGGCAGAAGGAATTCTCGCAAACCCGAGCTAACACCGGCGATGCTTCTGAGGTATAGAGGCCCTTTCCCCTCATTTATGGTCGCCCATGTCGCTTGAGAAGGGCCAGCGCTCATTTCTACTTGCCTTTTTAGGTTGTCTCCCCTGCCCCCAGCCGCGCAGATAGTCGAGCTGAGCTCGATGATCTTATCTCACGTTTGGTTGACCGCCCGGGGTCGGCTTCCATCAGCCACGGGGCCGATGGCCTGTCACGGAAGGGAAGCAGGCCTAATTCAGTCCTGAGCGCTAGCCAACTCAGTGGCGACAACACGGAAGCATTCAGTCCGACTACGCGACCACTTTCACAGTCAATTGCTGTTCAAACAGTCGGCACGGAGCCGTTTGTCGCGGCTCCTGAACCACAGCCCGCCCCTGAGCCCAAACCCGAAGTTGTCACATATAGTAAAGGAGTCCAGACGGACGACTTGAAACCGTCAGGCGCCACAGAGTCAGACGATGAAGAGAACAATGGCAGCAAGAGAGATAGCGAACGCGACGAAGAAATCCGGAGGAAGCTCCGAAAAGAGATCGAAGAGGAGCTGCAGGCCACTCAACAGCATGCTGACAATGAGGCCAGCGCCGAGGCCTTAAACATGCGTTACCCGCTCCGTACATTAGATGATGACGAATTAAAGGCTGTCACGTCCTCTGAGGGCTTTCTGGATTTCGTTGAACGATCAGCTAAAGTCATTGAACGGGCACTGGACGAGGAATACGATGTGCTAGCAGACTACGAGCTGGGAGGCGTGGATGGTGAACTAGAAGACGATGATGAACATGGACGGAAACGGCGCGGAATTAGGGAGGTCTGCCAGTTCTGGGACGAGCGATGGAGCAAGAAGCGTATGATCAGTGATCTTAGCTTTTCGCCGAAGGTTGGTCGCTTTCATCATCATTATGAGCTTCGCATTGAGATCTGACATCTCCACAGTTCCCCGAACTTGTTCTGGCTGCATACACCAAGAACCCTTCTGCCCCTCATGAACCCGATGGTCTCGTCCAGATCTGGAACCAACACCTTCACTCCCGACCGGAGTATGTCTTTCATTCTACCTCCGACATCTTGGCCGCCAAATTCTCTCCATTCCACCCTAATCTCATTGTTGGCGGTTCGTACTCGGGGCAGGTACTGCTGTGGGATACTCGGTCGTCGCGCGCAGGCGGTGGCGCTCCCGTTCAGAAGACGCCGTTGACTGGCTCTGGGCATACTCACCCGGTCTACAGTATTTCCATCATTGGAACACAGAATGCCCATAACATTTTGACCGCATCAACAGATGGCGTAGTCTGTGGTTGGACGGTCGACATGCTTTCTCAGCCCCAGGAATACCTCGAACTATCGACTCCCCCGCCCTCGAAAACAGAAGATCTTGCACCCACGACGATGTCATTCCCGCAGTCCGACCCCACGTTCTTCATCGTTGGTACTGAGGAAGGAGGGATTTACCCATGCCATCGTTACGACAGAGCCGGTGCCAAAGCTGGTACCGACCATCGCCTCGTGTATCGCGGTCATAAAGCCCCGATCATGTCCACTGCATTCCATCCCGCTCGCGGTCCAGTTGATCTGGGCGATCTCATGCTTAGCTCTAGTCTGGATTGGAGCGTGAGGCTCTGGCGCATCCGTCCGCCGGCCACGACTGCCCCTGCAACCTCTGCCATAGCCACAACTCAAGTCGTGGAGCCTATCCTTGACATTAATCGGGAGGATGTCGTGTATGACGCACGATGGTCCCCTCATCGCCCCGGTGTCTTCTCTCTCGTCGATGGTGCTGGAAACCTCGAAGTCTGGGATCTCTATACGGACACCGAAGTCCCCGTCGTGAAGACGACACCGTCTAAGGGCCGTGGAGGCATACTGACGAGAAGTCTCAACAAGGTAGCCTGGGAAGAGCGCGAGGGCAGGCGCATTGCAACGGGTGGGCTCGACGGAGTGGTTACTGTCTTTGAAGTCGGAAAGGGTCTCAGCGGTACTCCGGAAGACGTGCCTGCCGATGAATGGGCGGGCATGAAGAAACTCGTTGGAAAGTTGGAACAGCAGGACCGGAACAACTGATGCGCATTCAGCTATTTTTGCGAAATACAAAGGAACGAATGACCGTCTTGTGACTTCCCAGCGAACGAAGCAACAATGTCGGTTTATTGTCTCCTTCGCTCAAGTCTGTCCTCGCCAGCCAACAATCCATCGATTGATCCATCCGAGGTGCTTTAGTCTTCTTCCCGATCTGTAACACATTTTGAGCGGCGCCGCTGTTTAGTTTATCATATACCCCGAGGCACCTCGTTGATGTATCTATATTTGTTCCAAGCTAGAGAAACGAAATGGGTTCGAATATTTAGAGCCAGCCAAGATCTGTACATACTACCTCCATTAAATGGAACCAGATGCCGTAAACGTATAGTAGTACAGGCAATGCTGTGGACTAAATAAGACCTAAGCGTGTAGTTACGAGTCGCATGACCACCTCAGATGGCAACTATCAAGTTCTATCATTCCCGTCATCATCTATATACAGCAACCCACTCATTTATGGCTCTTGACAGCCTCAATAACACCCTCCCCACCACCAGGCGGCTGATGGAAAATAATCTTCTCCAATCCCACAGAGTTAAGCAGCTCACGCCATTGCTTCTCAGACCGCTCGAACGCGCCAACCTGGACCATCATCATGATACTCATGCACGCAGTGGGAAAGTCACAGTGTCTATCCGGGATGATATACTCATTAATAATGAGACGGGAATACCCCGGTTCCATAGCTTCGACGATATTGGTGAGGATTTGACGGGCTTGCTCATCGGCCCAATCATGAAGGATCCAATGCAGATAATATGCTCGAGCACCTGCGCGAGATAATTAGCGTCAGTGTGTTTAATCGCGGTCTTGATTTGTGTGTGGATCATGGAGACATCGTACCTTTGACTGGCTGCGGAGTGAAGAAATCGTGAGGCATCATGTCGGTTCCTTTCGGGGGAGTCTTAATGTTTGATACCACGTGTGGCAGGTCTTGGAGGACGAGGCGTCCAGGAAAAGAGGGGATTTTCTCGTTCAAGGCATGCAGGTAATGGCCCTCGCCTCCTCCGACGTCGACGAGGAGGACGTTGTTCGCTGAGTCGTTGAACCCGTCGGTGACGGAGCCTTTGATGTCGAACCAGTCGGCCCAGTTCGGGGTTGTTTGCTGCTTCAGGGTCATCCATTGTTGGAAGTCCTTTGCCAGGGAGGGGTTGTGACCAAGCCATTCGAAGTAACTGAGCTCTGTGTTCATTGCGAGCTGGAAGGGGGTATCTTTGGCGGATTTGGGAAATTGGTTGTTGTTATTGCGGAAGTACTCTGGAGCTCTCGTGGTACAGAAGTTGCCGATATCGAAGCTAGAGTGGTAACAGATGAGGGTGTGCTGGCATGGTGGTGTGACTGAGGGGCTTACCATGCTCGAGTTGTGGCTTCGAAGGTAGGCTCGGCCATTACCATTGTGAGAGGGGATGGTTTGTATGATTGGACATCTTCTTCCAGAACGTAGCCAGAAGCTGCGAGCAGCCTCATGATTTGGTCTAGGTGGTGCCATGTCAGTATGCTTTATTCAGGCCTTTGTCGGCACATGTGTTTGGCGCATGCCATGTTGCTGCAGCTGCGAACTATTACGATCGACCCTTCCAGAGTGGGACCGCAGAGAGAAAGAAGCGTGTATCCATCGCCGACCCACGAGTTCACATTCGATGAGGGCTAATATGGAGATTGATAAGATAAGGGAGATCTACCCACGAGAACTACACTTGCGCCGGATTTGCTGGCGATCTGCTGTGTGGTTGTTGCATGGCTTTGGTTGTCTCTGATGGTCTTGAAAACATCGAGTTGGACACCCATACGAAGTGCCATCAGAAGGACCGAATTCTTTTCACGCACGTTAATGGGCATTGCAACGGAAATGGACAGCATAATTTTGAAGACTCACCAGAACGACATCCTGAATGACTGTCTCGGCTGGAGAGCCCAAGGCTGCCAGCAACCCCTGTGCGGCTTTGATAGCCTTGAACCGGGTGCTATCGTCGATTCCATCTCTGCTGGATTGGATGGCGCTTGTTAGCTCTGATATCTGATGATCAAAAGACATTCTCTAGTCCGGCTTCTCGTGCTGTTTCGCGCTTCCTTGGTGCTAGATGCAATATCCTGCAAGGACGGGTGAACATACAGGAGCCAACCTCAAATGTCGCGGATAGAGGGCTTTAGTATGATGAAAGGATAATCGGAACAAAAGCTGAGGAATCGCAAGCGTGGGGCCCCTCACTCGCGTGATGGAGGATACCCGATAACGAATGAGATGGGAGATCGAGCCGGAGCACGATGCTAGCGTGCCTTAGTGGACACAAATCTGCCAGGAACTGGACACTCAGCGGCATAATATGTGGGCATAGTATCGGATCGAAGGTCGGTTCCAGAGTCTGTGCAAGCCATCCGAAAGCCATGTGGGGATCGACGGAGATTGAGTTTCGCGAATGATGCGAGAACCATTGACTTGGATACTCTCTTGCCCGTCGCACCAGCACGGCACACTCAACATTGCATTATGTAATTGACTGGATCCATCGTCCAAGAGTTTCAAAGACGGTCCCAGTGAAGCCGAATGCTCTCATTCCAAGGAACACGGCTGAAGCTAACAGCTGTGGTCTTGGCCCTGTGCGCAATTAAACGATGAAATTCCCTCACCCTTTCAAGGTCCTCTTGCTTCGACAATAGTTGCAGGCTGCAGATGCGTGAAACTGTCGCAGTAGCAGTCTGGGACCTCTAATGGCAGATGAAAAGTCAAGTTTCAGGTGGCGATGAATGCACGATCCGATTCCGATGTCCCGTACAACGGCGACGCGTTGATAGGCGTGTCCGTTGCGATTGCCGTTGTTCAGATCGTGGTGGTTATAGCACGCTTTTATACACGACGACGCCTGCAACAGCTGGCCTTTGCTCTCGACGATTATCTTATTCTTCTGGCATTGGTACTTGCCTGTCTTTCTCATCACCACTTCTTCGTGCTTACATTATTTGCAGATCGCCAGTTTAGGCCAGTCGGCTTTGTACATTATCTGTAAGTGGAATTTTCGATAATAGTGAGGCCAAGCGCTAACCGTTGGGTTTCATTTCGTATAGTGGTCAAACTCGCAGGAGTCGGACATCACATGGAATATGTCGAAGAGACGCCTGAAAAGCTGGTGATTTTGGAGAAGGTATAACCCTCCTGTTGGGTTGTTTACCCCAAGATGCACGCCTAACATGATTCAGGGCCTGTACGCCAACGGAATTCTCGACTTCCCATTCACAGTCACCCCAGCCAAGATATCCATTCTGGTCTTCTACCTCCGGATCTTCACCACTCGATCCTTCAAAATAATGGCCTACATAGTCGGCACCATCGTGCTCGGACACGGCCTCGGCATCCTATTTGCAGCCATCTTCCAGTGCTGGCCGATAGCATACGTCTGGGACAAAACCATCGAAGGAGGATCGTGCTTCAATCAACTGGCGTTTCTACCGCTACGGGTCACCGCCAAACATCTTAACAGACGTCCTCATTCTGATCATGCCATTGCCATATGTCTGGAAACTACATACACGGAAAGGACAGAAGTTAGCTTTAACAGGAGTATTCCTTCTCGGCAGTTTGTAAGTATATACTCTATACTTCACCACCCCAACATCACCGGAATGACTCACTAACCTCACAACCCTCCCCACCAGAGGAACCGTAGCCAGTATTCTACGAATGACAATCTTCTTCCAAGAAAACGCCACGACCGACCCAACCTGTACGTCCCTTCCCTCCACCCACACTTCCTAATCCACAAATAACCCTACTAACCACCTATCAATTACAATACAGGGACATCCACCAACCTCGGCATCTGGACCATCCTAGAAGGCGGTATCATCATCATCGCCGCCTGTCTCCCGCCCATTTGGCCATTGATCATGCGGATACTCCCTCAACAGCTACGCAGCAAGGGATCCTCGCAGACTCCGCAGCGCTACTACCAGCGCCGCTACCCGACTAATCAGGCCAATGGCAAGACTCCGGAGGGATTCTCCCGACTCGGAGATAACAGTCAGTCGCGCGGATCGCATGTCCCGTCGCTGGGAAGTCAGACGATTGTGGCGCGTGAATCTGAGTATTATTCAGAGAATATCTCATTGGAGGAGGCGGTGCATGGGTATAGAGTTGTGGAGAGGGAGGGGCCGTAGAGTCATAGATGTATAGGTGTATCATTGTTTTGGGTGTTATGAGTTTAATGATGAAATCTGAACTGATTTATAGTTATATAGAAGTAAACACTATAGAAACCCTCCACTTATTCTAGTAGCTGTATTAATGAGATCTTTTTGAAAGATTATCATATATCTTAACTATATTAATAACTTCTGGATATTTTTAATTGCCTCTAGTTCTTCAGTCTTGAAAAAAATAATATAAATATAATTAATCTTTCACAGTTACTGGCTGGCACCGGGTAAATACCTGAAACAGAATGAGACCATGCGTATACAAGTCTCAGTGCTCATTACTCCACAGACTCTGAACTTGCCGAGCAAAGTACTCCCGGCAATCCATTTCCGATATCCATCCTAGAGCAATATATTCTGCCCGTTTATCGTAACCCGTTCATGTGGTCAAATGCTGCGTTTGCGCCAGGAACAATGCCTTTTCCTCACTCTCTGACCTCCAGGGAGGTTTTACACACAACACAATCCTCTCAATCTCCTTGTCCCTCTGATACACTATTCTCTTAGCATTGATGTGATAGCCTTTAACGTTGTCGTAGTCGACACGTAGGGCCCACCAGATCTTCTTGCGGTTTCTTTCGATCTCGAAGTTCCCAGATATGCCACAGACCTGGCTGTCATCCCCTCCGTGCAGCCCGAAGGTGTATAGACCCACTGTAGAATCTCTGATTAACTCTTTTGTGAGGCCCAATTCTTCCTTCGCGTATGCCATCGGATGGGGAACGTCGAGAATGATTTGCTCAGCCATGGTGGATCTTGGGGCGGATTATGGAGCAGCCAAGAGGCTTTAATGTTTCTGATGGTGAGTTAGCATACTGTTGTTCGTTTCAATTTTTGTGGGGGCAAGGAATACAAACCGTGTTGGGTAAACTGATGCTTCAGCTACTTGTAACAGGAGTCTGGAGTAAATGGTCTGCACACGGAGATGGAAAGATTGTTGGCCGAGCGGGGGATATGGGGAGGGGGGGCTGTTTATGTCTGAATCGACAGCCTTGGGGGATGTCTTCCGCTTCTATGCAGCCTAATCACATAAAGCAGCCTCGCATGCATCCAGCGCCTACTTCCTCTACCTGAATGGCCCGGCATACCGGCCTTGCACCCCCGTAGGTAGTAAGTAGTGGGGGCCAAGCGCACAACCCTCCATTTACCACTCCTACTGACCATCATGGATGTCACCCAAACAGCCCCAATTCGTAGAGTAGTATTTCCTTACTTGAACTCATGGATTGTTAGGTTCTTACAGCCGGAACATCACTACCGCGGGTTTACATACCTTGAGCTTAGCAGAATACTTATCAGAGAAGAAAAGAGAAGAAAAGAATTACTCTCTTTATTATTACTACTACCACTTCATTAACTTACACGGGTAGCAGAGTATTCAATACTAGCTGGGAAGCTGGTATTGGTCTTAGGGCACTATATACATCTTTTATAACCTTACAGGTCATATTGGATGAGTGACATCTGTCATGGCCAAAATATTATAGTATCTTCTATCTATTTCTGCATCTCCTTGTCGTGGACAAAAAATTGACAACTTGTGATGATTTGATAGTGGAAAATAAGGATGACTAAAGATTATTTCCTTTTCTATTATGATTCGCGATACATGGTGTCATTAATGGCTGCGGTGCACTGCAGTATAGGGCCTACATCCTGCGGGAACTTACTTCGATTGGCTGCTTAGTAGACCCCTACTACTACTATTCGGTCACGACCCCGCACACTCAGTATAAGCCAATGAAAGCTGCCATGATGCAGGCTGACAAGCAGCTGCCATCTGACAGGAAGAATGAATTAGATAGAGCCTGATAAAAAAAAAATTTAAAGCCAGACGCAGTTACTTGATGATGATAAAGGCTCCGGCATCCAAAGTAAACACCTTGAATGTCTTTAGAGAGAAAAACTATATATTTATAAAAAATAAAATAAAATAATAAGCTCCAGAACACTTGTCTATACTTATTTATAAATAACGTTTTGGGCAGCCCATCTGCCGTCTTCTTCTAGTTTAAAGTAGTATGATTTGCATGACTCAGGTGTGCTTATAGTATATATGAAGTCAACTAACCTCGATATTAATAATACTGGAGAATGAATTGGTGATTGATGACAGATCAGAGTAAGGTGAAATTTCAATGGAAGCAACATCTCTCTCACATAAACTGTCTTTAAGTAAGCGTCTTACTTGTAAACGAAATCCTGTTACATGCCCGGCTCCAGTTTGAGATGACATATATACTACACACCACCCCTTACGTAGTGCCCTCCTTAAATCCTTATTATTCTATAGTGCAATCACACTTAATCCAGTATACTACTACTCCATGACGAGGATTCTCAAGATTCATGATGGGGCTAGTACTACTGGTAAATTCTATCAATCCTGCACGTTCATCTTCATCACTGATCTTGAGTCATCATCGTATAACTATGTATATCTCCTTTAGTTCTAATATGGCCTTGCCGTATATAACCAGAAACAGTAATTAGTAAGTATAGCGGAATCCGACCTGCAACACTCTTTTTAGTAGAAAAATTTCTATCAATAGCCTCATAAGCAAGACATACCATATTCTGGATAAGCCTTCCCTTGTGCTTCTGCTGCCGATTGAGGTGCCAGAAAAACAAGGTGAAAACGCACACTAGAGCTATCATTAGGATATGGGATCTGTTTATCAATAAGTAAGTGTTTGGAAATTGGTTTGGCATATGGGGTGCTCACCCGATAGACACCCAGACTGCCGTCTCATATCGCGGTGCTTCCTGCTGTCGTACAATGTAGCTACCCGCAACACCGCCCAGGCCATTACAGGCTGACACTGCCGCCGCTGTGGTCGCGCGGTTCCATTGGCCAACCACGTTATTGGCCATAAAGGCGTTCAGAGCTGCCCAGTTGGAGACGTATGCTCCTGTCGCGAGGAACGTTCCTATGTATCGGACGGTGACTTGCGTGGATGACGGGAGGCCGAACATGAGGAACCCGGCGATGAGGCAGAGGGCGTTGAAGGCGATGAGGGGGCCGCGGATGCGGAGTCTGTCTCCGACGAAGGAGGTGAAGATGACGGGGATGACAGCCCAGTAATATGGCTAGTAATAGGAAGCTATTAGTATCTGGCTCATAAATAGGAGATATGCAGGTGATGGTATTACCGGCGTGGACAGGAGAATTGAAGCGTTGCTCGAGAACCCCATGCCATCCTCGAGAATCATGGGGAGGAAATAGTTCAACGCAGTTGATACCAGGTTCAACAGGAAGTACATGCAGGCAAAGCCGTACAGTTTCGGGTCGGCGAAGGGTGCGAGAACCTTGCGCCATGAGAACGGGTCCGGGACGATATCATCGCGGTCTGCCTTGATGCGCTGAGCAGCGACACGGGCCTCCAGCTCGGACATGAAGCAAAAGCTGCGATGCGCATTCTCTGGAAAGTCGACGATCCACCAGTAGGTGGCTATTCCAATGACACAGCTAATGAGGCCCTGCACGAGGTACATCCAGCGCCAGCCTTGCATGCCTGCTCTTCCATCCAACAATTCTAGGCCGTAGTTCACGATGTAACCTGTCGCGAGACCGATGACTTCACCCGACTGCATCAGGGCGAATCGCAGCTGCTGCTCCCGCCGCGGGTACCAGGCGCTGATGAGATAGGTCAGACCCGGGTAAATTCCCGACATGGACATACCCAGGAGCACGCGGAGGGCGATCATCTCCTTCCAGGTGTGGATAAAGGCCGTGCACATTGTGATCAGTCCGAAGGCGAAGGCAATGCATGCGAACCAGATGCGTGGCCCGACCCAGCGGACTGCGATGGTCGATGGCAGCTGGAAGACGATACTGGCGATGGTGAAGATGAAGACCGAGACGGAGTATCGCGTGCCAACAAGATCAAGGTCGTCGGGCATGCTGGTAACCGAGGCTGATGACAAGATGCCGGAATCAAGCAGATTGAGACTGCACAAGATACCAGCAATGGTGCAGAGGCGCAAATCGGTCTTCCATCGGATTCGAGTCTCGAGAGCCTTCAATTCTTCCGGGTCGAGATCCGCGTAACCTTGGGCTTCCCGCGTGCTTTCGACCTTACCATGGTGGCTCTCAACGACAACCGTGTCGGAATATTTGGGATCCATGATGCACACGCGAGCGATCGAAGAACAGATGCGACAGTTGCAAGCGTAGTGGCATATTCCGAGGAAGACGTTGGGCTACATTTCTGAGGGGAAAGAGTTGGCAGCAGCCAGCTTATCTATCATGACTCTTCCACTTTTAGTTTTCAGCGGGATTTGGACCAGCTTGCGACCCATGCATAACTCCGTTCGCTAGTCGTTCTTCAACCTGGACGGCCCTGCAAAATTTGTCCCCATCTAGGGCATCCATTGGCTAGGATAAGCCGGGAGATCTCCGAAGGAGAGCTGGGCCCTCGTAGCGCCCGACGCTGCATTGGAAGTCGCGGGGCATTAATCAATCGCGATTGCGACTAGTGATGGCGAGGGCGGACAGCCATGCTGATCGGTGGCGGTTTAATATCTAGCTGATGAAGCTGATGAGATTGTTTGCGTGGATGCTGAAAGAAGCCAATCGAAGCATGACTTGGTAGACTTTTTGCTTTTTGTTCAGCGACTGACAAATGACACTGTAGGAGAAGCAATCATAATGCAGAACAAGCTCCAGTGGGGAATGTATATCTTGAATATGTCCCACTGACTATGAGTGGAGTAGCAGTTGTCCTCTTACTGTAGTCTAGACTACTAAGTACTTAGTAGTTATGGTGAGCTGATTAGAAATCGATATTTGGATAAGCAGATCCCGAGCTGAAGTGTGCATCAAGAATGCAACCAGCGACGGGCAGGAAACTATTTCCACGGTGAGACAACTTCTGCATGGTCCAGATAGAAACAAGTAGACAAGCAATATATTTGGTTAGGACATTGACGTGATCGAATTTCTGGAAGCAGCAGAATAAATTGCTTCTTTGAAAATGTATAAAAAAGGTAAAGTTCCTGCCTGAGGTTGGGGATCCGCATGATCCCTGCTTTGATTGGAATTCTTTAGAGAGTTAAACACTCAGCAGTTCTTTAAGACTACACCCAGTTTATCTCTGCTATCTATCTAAGCACTATCCACTATCTATAAATTCCTCCAAGGATCGCCTCTCCATTCCAGTTGATTATTTGCTCCTCTCTCAATGGCTCACGGGGAACTCCATGGCTCCATCTGGCCCCCCCGCGTCTTCTCTCGTCAGGCCTGCGACCCACGCCGATTCTTCGGGCGAAGGGAGCCAAACAGCTCCGTGAGGAGATCCATGGGTTGAAAAGGAAGGGGACCTGAACACCTGCGATGGCCACGCTGCTGATTCTGACTGACTGATCGTCTGTCTTCTCCATCCCCCCTGGTTCTGCCATATAGAAAGATGGCTCCATCCTCCTGATCTTCAATCAGTCCTCTCCCTCTCGACTTGCGCTTTGTGACTGCTCGATCCTGTGCACCCGTAACCTGCTGGCTGTGACTGATCCAATCTTCTTCCCTTTTCACCGCCGCAGCTTTTCTCCCCCAACTCAGCTGTCGACAGAGCTTCCCTCTTTAAATCACTTGCAGCTGCCACCTCAGCAGTTCCTCCAGGCGACTTGCGCAATCCAGTCTCCTCTCTTCCCCTCCAACATGGTCGCTCTCATCCCCCCTCCTGAGCCCCGCACCCTGCTGCCACCTCTACTCGCCTGTCTTCCTACGGCTTTCGTATCGCCTCAACCCCCTCCGGCTCTGCTGCCCCTCCTGTCTCCCATTCTGCGCCAACGGGTTAAGATCCTAAGCTCAGTATCTGCCTCGCCCACCGAATCATGGCTCCGACTGCTGTGCTGGGATGCTGGACAGGCTGAGCGCCTCCAAACATTGGTGGATGGCGCAACCTTCGAGCCACATCCGGTGTCGGGTGAGATTGAGCTCCCCGACGAGCTCCCCGTCAGGTACATGCGTGTGGACGAGGAGACCCTACGGTCGCGTGTGATACTTCCTGAATTCAGCTTGAAAGTTATCTACCTCTGGTGCCCCGACGATCAGGAGGGCGGGGGCCCCGCGTGGCGGGTAGCAGAACTGTTGCCGCAAGAAGGCAACGTTGACGACGGTGAAGACTGGTCTGTGTCCATCGGGGAGGCCAATGCTCTCCAGAAAGACCGCCTGCTAGAGGACGCCCTAAAAGCAGGTGAGGCCGCTGAACAGGCAAAGAACCAAGAAGAGGAGGAAGATGATGACGATGACTACTGGGCCCAATATGATGCAACTCCCGGAAGAACTCCTGCGAATAAGACACCCGCTCCTAACGCCGTTTCATCCCTGCAGCAGTCGGAAGCGGATTACTTTTCCCGCTACGGTGATGTACAGCCTGCGATGGATAACCATGATCCCGAGGAAGACCAACCCGAGGTCGGACCCTCCTCCCTCAATGGCGATATGCTGGCCAAACTGCTTCAGCGACAATTCAATGGAGACGAAGCTGTCAAGCCGACCAATACTTCGAATGGTGTTGCTACCAATGGGGATCATGCTGGTTTAAACCACCCTCGACCCTCCTCCATCTCTTCTGCGAGCTCTGAAGCCGTGGCCCGACTCGAACAAGAGGCGGAGAACCAGTCTGCATACGAAGTGGGTGTCAAACAGCACATTGGCTCGAGCATCAAGGGTCTGTTCCGACTGGCTAAAGCTACGGGCATCTCGCGCAGTGACTTCCAGTCACTTGTCAAGACGGAACTCGAATTACTAAATGTGTCGGACGACGATTGAAATAGGTGAATTTGGGGTTGTTTTTCTTTCTTCATTCTCTCAAATTGTATATACTGCATGCGGTCATGTTCAGCGTTGAGGTGCATTGATTTGGCATTGGATATCCCCGGGTAGTTTTGAGGAATACGTTGATCGGGTTCATCAGCACCATCATGATAACATTATATAATAGCTGAAATCCAAATATTGAATTTCCGACGGATAATGACGATCAAACCCTGGGGGCAGAACTACGCAGACCGCTGAAGTACACGTGTTTCATCGCGCGACGTTTCCCATAAATTGGCCCTGGACGGGGGCTTGTTTCAAGTTCGGACCAACGCCTTGTTCCGTTCCGCAAGCGTTTGGGAGGCCGGAAAGACACGCAATCCGCCCCCATCGGCAACAAGAAACCGCCCCCCCTCTTGCTGCTGCGGCTGTGACCATTAAGTATATTCATCCCTCCGGTCTATCATGTTCTTTTCCTGACTGGCTTCTTCTTGCTTTTTTTGTAAGTAGCCCTCCTACAAAGGCACAAGCATGCGAATGCTTTCTTGCCCGCTCCGTCCAGCTTGCTGACCTGTTCCCCCGTATGCGGCTTCTAGAAGTCCATTAGGTGTCTTTCGTTCGTTCCTTTTTCTTGACCACACTATCTAATCATGTCTTCATCTCCTTCGCCCTCTCTTCGCAAGAGGGGCGGCAAGAAGGAGAGTACTCCCGTGCCTGCGGATAAATTCTCTTCTCCTTTGTCCAAAGCGACTGCTCCTCGTTCGGAATGGGATTACTGGCTGGCCATTTCCATTCTGACCGTGCTTGCATTCGTCACCCGTTTCTACAAGATTTCTTACCCCAACGAGGTCGTTTTTGATGAGGTGCACTTTGGAAAGGTAGGCTTGCAATCAATTGGTCGCTATGAAGCTCCGTGATGGCGGGTTGCTAACGGGGATCTGCTCTAGTTTGCCTCGTACTACCTCCAGCGCACTTACTTCTTCGATGTCCACCCTCCGTTCGGCAAGCTCCTTTTCGCCTTCATGGGCTGGCTGGTCGGCTATGATGGCCACTTCCTCTTCGATAACATTGGTGATTCCTACATTGAACACCAGGTCCCCTACGTGGCTCTTCGGGCTATGCCGGCCGCGCTCGGTGCCCTGACTGTTCCCGTTGTGTTCCTGATCATGTGGGAATCCGGATATTCACTGCCTGCTTGTGTTTTGTCCGCTGGCCTTGTCCTGTTCGACAATGCCCATATCGGAGAGGACCGTTTGATTCTTCTGGATGCCTCGTTGGTCCTGACCATGGCCCTGAGCATCCTCTGCTATGTCCGCTTCTACAAGCTGCGTCATGAGCCATTCGGACGGAAATGGTGGAAGTGGCTGCTCCTGACCGGTGTGTCGCTTAGCTGCGTCATCTCCACCAAGTACGTCGGTGTCTTCACTTTCGTCACCATCGGTTCCGCCGTCATGGTTGATCTGTGGAACCTCTTGGATATCCGCCGTCGTGGCGGTGCTCTCACCATGTTCCAGTGGGGTCAGCACTTCGTTGCTCGCGCTTTTGCCCTGATCATTGTGCCCTTCTTCTTCTATCTGTTCTGGTTCCAAGTCCACTTTGCCATCCTCACCCGCTCCGGCCCCGGCGATGATTTCATGACCCCCGAGTTCCAGGAAACCCTCAGCGACAATGCGCTGAGCGCGCAGTCTGTCGGTATCGAATACTACGACACGATTACCATGAAGCACAAGGATACCAAGGTCTATCTTCACAGCCACCTCGAGAGGTATCCCCTTCGGTACGATGATGGACGTATCTCCAGTCAGGGCCAGCAGGTTACCGGATACCCTTACAACGACACCAACAACCAGTGGCAGATCATCCCCACGGTGCCTCTGGATGTAACGGATATCAGCGGACACAAGGTGCGCAACGGTGATGTTGTTCAGCTCCGCCATATGGGCACTGACACGATCCTGCTCACCCACGATGTTGCATCTCCCTACTACCCGACTAACCAGGAGTTCACCACTGTCTCCCATGAGATTGCCAACGGTGACCGGCACAACGACACGCTGTTCGAGATTAAAATCGAGAATGGCAAGCCTGGTCAGGAATTCCGCACTCTGTCTAGCCACTTCAAGCTGATCCATATGCCCACCCGTGTGGCCATGTGGACTCACACCACGCCGCTGCCCGACTGGGCCTTCAAGCAAGCCGAGATCAACGGCAACAAGAATATCCTCCAGACCAGCAACTTGTGGTTCGTTGAGTCGATTGAGTCCTTGGAAGAGGACAGTCCCCGTCTGGTCAAGGAAGAGCGCCAGGTCAAGCACCTGCCCTTCTTCCGCAAGTACCTTGAACTGCAGCGCGCCATGTTCTTCCACAACAATGCCCTGACTAGTAGCCACCCGTACGCGAGTGAACCCTTCCAGTGGCCTTTCCTGCTCCGCGGTGTCAGCTTCTGGACCAAGAACGACACCCGGGAGCAGATCTACTTCCTTGGTAACCCGGTCGGTTGGTGGATCGCCAGCAGTCTGTTGGCGGTGTTCGCCGGTGTCATCGGTGCTGACCAACTGTCTCTTCGTCGTGGTGTCGATGCCGTGGAAGAGAGTAAGTGAAAACCCTTGTGATTTCAGCAAGCAGCTACTAACGAGTGATAGTTTGGGGCCAAGGCTCCCGTTCCCGCCTGTACAACAGCATGGGATTCTTGTTCCTGTGCTGGGCCGCCCACTACTTCCCCTTCTGGCTGATGGGCCGTCAGCGTTTCTTGCACCA